CCCCCCCCCCCCCCCTCTGCCCAGGAGTACGTCCCGGATCTGTCTATGTTTGTAATGGTTCAGTTGGTCTTTGCTGTCTAACGCATTTCTTTAAATTTATGCATTTTGGGGGTTTTTTTAACGTTAGAGTTAATATTTCAGCTGCCTGATACCCATTCCTTTAGAGTTGGCCTGTTGCCAGTTTTAATGCATTTTTTTTTGATGTATTTGACATTGCACTTGATTTATTACTGCACATTTTTGCCTCCAAAAAACTAATCTAAGCGTTATTTTTGGAAGCAAAAAATGAGCGGCGTACTTTACTGGAGTGTAAGGACTGCTTTTTCAAAATTTTTGAATTAATATTTTTGGCAATTTGAAGAAAAACCATCGGTGTTGTTGATTATGAATTGATATTTTTGACAATTTAAGGGAAAACATTTATCGGGCGTATTATTGTGCGTATTCTGCTGGAGAACATGGATCTGTGGAATCCGACTCGAACAAATCCAATTTTGATCGTATGCTATACAAATCATGCTTTGGACCAATTTTTGGAAGGTGTTTTGAAGGATCTGATCGATGACGGACGTTACGATGATGAGAAGCCCAGTATTATTCGACTTGGCTCACGCTGTAGAAGTGAAACTTTGTTGAAGTATGTTTTACTTTTATGAATTTTTCAAGGATTTAGCCAGCCTTAAAACCTATGCATTGGCAAAATGCCAGCTATACATTGGCAAAATTGGCTGTAATGGCAATTAGGGCTTTTGTCAGACGAAAGGCTATGGTTCGATTTTATCAACAAGAAAAGCAAATTCTGCGGCTCATTGATTTTTCAGGTGGTAATTAAAATTGGCATATGCCATAAGGACCAAAATCGCCTTCATCTTACTAAACAGCTCTAAAAAATAGAATTTTCTGTTGGTGGCTGCTTTTGACCTGTAGTTTGAGTTTTTCCACCTTTTACTTTTTTGTGGACAATTCTGCCGAAAGTAGACGAGTTTTTGCTTATTTTTAAAACTGTTTTTAATGGGAAAATTGCTAACTTGGGAACCAGAAAAGGTAGAAAGCTGAAATTTTGAGGGTATGTTCCTCGTCCACATAATCAGAGATTTGAAATTCGGTTCTCCCCCCTCGTCTCGGACATGCATGGTTACCACGTGTGGCCCCGCAAATTTTTTTGACGGAAAAACTGCTAACTTGGGAACCGGAAAAGCCAGCCAACTGAAATTTTAAGGGAATGTTCCCCGTTCAAGTGTCACTGTAACATATTTCCCGCCCAAGTATCACTGTAGCTGAGCCTCTCAAAAACGGGATCCACTACGATTTTCACATGCTTTACAGAAGCAAAAGTTTCGTTGAAGCTTATTTATGCTTTTCAGTCATAATATGCCGAGGATACGGGCTTCCTAGGGAAATCTGTTTTACTATTTCTTTTTCCCTGTACTAACTGATTTAGATACACAAAACGGCAAATAACCGATGAATTTGAACATATAATTCCACGTCTGATGAAACAGAAGGTTTGTTGTAGTCTTAACTGTATGTAAATTCATTTACACCGAACTAATGAGCTGCCAAAACATCCAATATTTTTAGTTTTACTGTATTTTTTTCTCGGTTATTTAGGTACTGCTGTAGTATCATTTTTGCTAAACGTCAGTATAAAGCTTTTCCTTAAATCCAGATATTTTTATGCATTTTTTGCAGCTATGCAATGCAAAAACGCATATTGGCGAGGGTTTGTCTGTTTGTCCGTGTGTCTGTGTGTGCGTCTGTCACGCACTTTCATCTCAAGACCTATAAAAGCTGCCGGGCTGAAATTTCGGGAACTTAATCTACATGCACGTGCCGGCCTCAATCCCCAAAATGGGCGCCATCACCCGCGTGGTACCCGCGTACGGGTCCGCCAAAATTTTTTTCGGGTAAGTTCATAACTCGGGGATCTGAGAAGCTAGAACGCTAAAATTTTAGGGTATGTTCCTCGTCCAAGTGGAAGTGGGTATTAACGAGTTCAAACCCTGCCTGCGTGTAAGCTCGGTACCTACGTACGGGCCCGTGAAAGTTTCTTCTGGGCACGTTGCTAACTTGAGAAAGTGAGGAGCTAGAAGACTGGAATTTCGAAGGAATGTTTCCTGACAGTTCTGGCGGCCAGCCTGAAATTCTTTTAGCTAGAAGCATCTTCCGGAAAAGCCAGTGCCGTTAGTGACAAAAATCTGCGGGGAGCTATTCAGAAAACGCAACTTCGCACGGGCAGCCCGTGCGTTGACCAATTATTGAAATTGCAGCTGGTTATGCAGTTTTAAAAGGAGTAACTACTGAATGCAGATTGAATTCAGGTCACTACTGAATTCAGATTCAGTAGTGTTTTTACGATATGTTTGATTTGTTTCGGTGATAAATTGGTACGGGCATCCAAAACATCTCAAGGAATGAGATTGTCTTTTGCTTCCTTTCAAGCAAGTGTGGATGAACGGGGAAGG